ATTTGTGTGACAGTGATGGCAACACACCATTGATGAAGGTAGATATACCAGTAGTTTTGCAGGAAATGAATTTGATGAAATGCTTAGAAGAAAAATTGGTTAATGCCATTTAGTTATAACTAATGAGTAAAACATGAAATATTTTTCTTGGATTTCCAAAATTTACAATCTATTTCTTGGTTAAAACCAACAGGCCCTACAATATGAGGAAGAGGAATGTGCAATTATTCTTCTAGAACATGGTGCCAATCCAAATGTTCACAACAACAAGGGTGAAATTCCGCTCCACTATGTTATCTTTTATAGGAACACATTAATAGCAACAAAACTGCTTTCATGCAACACAGATATTGAAGCCAAAAACACGGTATATACATCAATCACTATTATTTTCAAAATATTTAAAATTTTTCTTAAAATTAACAGTAATGCATGTTAAAAAATACTGATTATAAGCAAATTTTCTTTTTATTAAAATACTAGCAAATTTTGGAAGTTCTCCTCATATTCTTCCTCCTTCTTTTGTAGCTCATGTGTGTATTTAGTTTGCCTCCATCAGTTGAATCCACACTTAGAATTCAAGAGACTCATGCAGAAATCTGAACTTCAAGCTTCTGTGAAGGAACTTGATGTGGTCCCCTTGAGCCATAGTACTGTGTGATGTGGTGTGCAGGGTTTGCCTCCCACATGCTGGGCACACATGTTCTTCAGTTTGCTTCTGGCAACTGCAGCACTTACTCCAATCACCTACTTTGCCTCTATAAATGAGGTTACAACTCCTCTTTTTTAATATAGTGTGATAAAGATTTCATAGTGTTTTCTACTGATATACAAGCATATGGACTACATAATATATTATGAATCTCTTTCAAATGGGATTAATTTTTTTGAATTTAGAATTTGGAAGTTAAATAGTTTTCTCTATATATACTAAAAAAATCATGTTCCCACTGGAATTTTTGAAAGGCTGATTAGGTCACTCATTGCTAGAATGGATATTTTATTGCTAGAATTAGATAGCTCATGGATTTTGCCAGCTGTACTATGTATTAGTCTTCAGCTTTGTTCCTTAAAAATGCAAATGTTTAGCGCCTTTCATGATACTACAAGTAATCTGTGTAGATCAGCATAAATCTTGATGATACACAAAATTTCTGAATTAAATTTTGCCTAAAATTATAAGTAACTTTAAGTAGCAATTAAAGTGGATGAGAATAAAAAGAATTTTGGAAAATAACCATGCATTATTTTACCAGGATTGTCGTTACCAGTGAGAATACATTTTCAATGTTATTTTTATTAGAGTTTATAGTTTTACATAGAAGTTAAATTCATTCCCTCAAAATCTTACATGCATGGAATTCCAGTTGAGTCATTGATTCTCTCTTTTCCATCTGTCTACCCCTCCTCCTCCATTCTCCCCCTCCTATTTTCCTGGACCTCCTTTCACCTGTGTATTTATTTATATTTGGTTGATTCTTTTTACTTATACATAAGGGTGCAATTACCTGTGGTATATTTATATATGCATATAACATGAATTTTAAAGATTTCCTTCTTCATTGCCTTCCCTTTTTCATTATCTCTGTGCCTCTCAATCTTCTTTTTCTACACTAATGATCTTCTTTACATCTTCTGATATTCTGTTTTTTATTTCTTTTTCTTTAATTAACTCCAGCTTCCACATATGAAACATGTTACCTTTGAGTTTCTTATTTGACTTATTTCACTTAGCATAATATTCTTGGATACCAACTCATTTACCAACAAATGACATAATGTATTTTTATGGCTGAGTAATACTCCATTGTATGTATGTGCACCAGAATTTCTTAATCCTTTCATCCATTCACAGGTACTTGGGTTAATTTCATAATTTACCTGTTGTGAATTGTGCTACTGTAAACACACATGTGACTGTATTAATATACAGTTACATGTAAATTTTTTTTTACTAATTTTGGGAAAATACTGAGTCATGGGACAGCTATTTCATCTTGTGGTTCCCTTCTTAGATTTCGGGGAATCCCCAAACTGTTTTCCAGGGTGGTTGTACTAGTATGTAGTCGCACCAACAGTGTAAACGTGTGCCTTACCCCCACA